ACCCCTGGCCTCTGCCCCTAGATGCCAGCAACACTCTCCCCGCTTCCCAGTCAAGACAATCCAAACTGTTTCTGGGCATGGCCAGTGCCCCCAGGGCAGATCACCCCTGGCTAGACTGGTGGTTTCAAGCTCAGGGTTTGGAGCCCCCTCCTGGCCCTGACCACTGGAAAGTCACCAAACCTCCCTGGCCACCATTTTCTAGTCTAAAAATGGGGCGATCACGGCGCCATGGGTGCACGGGCTCATGTGATCATTGAAGGCAAGAGATGATGCCAGCGTCCGGCACAGCGAGCGCCCTGAGTGAGGGCACACAAGTGACCAGGCGTCCAGGCAGCCTGGTTCCGCTCTTGGCCTTTTGCTGGGTGCCCTTGGGTCTTTTTGGAGAGAATGATAGGTCCTGCCCGGAGGCGTAAGTGCTCAATCTCCCTAAAAGTCAGCACTGTATTTGGGGCCGCCTCCCCAGAGAGGCAGCTCGCAGGCATTGATGGGATTCGATCTGAGCCTTGGGACTTGGAGAAAGGGGAAGAAAAAGGCCTTTCAGATGAGAAGGTTGAGGGAAGGAACTCGGAGGAGAGGGTCTACTGTGAAGCACGGGTCTCCTTATCCCAAGGCCTTTGGGGGTCCGTGTGCCTCCCTTTGCATGGGTGCCTTCCCATTGGTAACTGGATCTCAGCCTCTGGGGAGTTTTTACCCCACAGAAACTGGCAAACGCTCAGAGCAGCCTCCCCTGAACCCCACCCAGGGCCCGAGCACCGTGTGCCGGTTCTCCCTCCCGCGCCCAATTACATCTTCAGAGTGCTGTGTCCTGTGTCCGATTTGCCGGTGTCCTGAAAGAGAAGGTGATTTCAAAATCCTTAGCAACTTAATGCTGTTGTCTCCCCGTTCTGCCCATGGGAAGGAGGCTCTGGACCCGGGGTACAGGGGTGAATCACCCTGCATCCCTGCGATCTAGGGCTCGTTTGTGGGGGCGATGTGTGAACACAGTCAAAGGTGTTCTGTGTGCCGTGATGGCAAGGGTGGTTCCCCTCCAGGCAGGTCAGGAGAGGGCTGGGGGAGGAATGGTATTAGATGTGCGTTTCAGAAGCAGTGAGCTCCATGTCTGAGGAGATAGCCAAGCAAAGAGGGGGCAAGAGGGCAGAATTTTGGCAGTGTCATTAAGGGGGTTTCAGTGCACGGCCCCGTTCCCTCCAGTACCCCTCCCAGTTCTAATCTGTGACCCACATCATTGAGGTTTGGTCTGTGGGAGGGCTAAGGATAATAGCCTCAAATGAGGCCCAGCTGAAAAAAAAAAAAAAAAAAAATCTCATTAAAAACAAAAAGCGCATCTGCCTGTAAGTATCTGAATGGATGTCTTGAGAAGAAGGTTATAATTTTTTTTAAATTTCTAGCGCATGTGTGATGCCAAGTCTGAAAGCTCCCTCATCCTTAGTCTCCTGCAGCTCCAGAGCCCTCGATGGATAAAGCAGTTGTCTCATTGCCAGACAGATGCATGCAGAGCGGCACCAGCCTGCCAGGCTCCCTCTGCCTGACTGCGTTGCTTTCTAATTTGCTCCCACATTGGTTGAAAATGACTAAAGCATTTTGCACAAAGTCCAGACAATTCTCAAGTCAACTGGTATTTAAGCGATCGTCAGAAATCTCCTCCTCTGTGACCCCAGACTTGGGCCATTACTAGGTTTGCTATCTTGGTTGATTTTGACAACCAGAGCCTTCTTCAAAGTCCATATTCTTCTCAGAGAGGCACTTTCCCTGGATTAGGGGTGACAATGAGTGATTACCCTCACAGCATCCCAAATGCCAAATTAATGACGTTCTGCCCTGCAGACGGGATGACTCAATCCGTGCTGCAGTGATGACCTGGTGGAAGGAGAGGCCTCAAGCGTGGTGTCTCATTGGGATATGGGAGCTGGTCCTTCCTGATGACCTTGAGAGCCGGTCCTCACTGCAGACAAGAGCTGCCCGGGGCTGTGAGCATTTGACCTCAGCTAGGCCAGGCGGCTATGCCCCTTCAAAGGCCCCCTTTAGCTCTGGCTTCTGCATTGAAGGAGCTCCTTTCTTGCACACGTGTGTATGACCCCCACTATGGGCCAGGCCCCTGGCTGGGGGTATGGCAGTGAACAGATAGGTGCAGCTGCTGTCACACAACCTGGTGGTCATCCTAAGCAAGCAGAGGGCAGGATTAGGGGCGAATGGCTGCACGTATATGCCTGTGTGCTCCCACCCTTCCTTCCCGCTAGTTCTTTCTTCAAACTGGGCCTGTGTGTTCCCATCCCACCTTCCTGCTAGAACCTTTCTTCAAACTGGGCCATCCTTTCTCTCATAGCACAATAGCTATGTCTCCTTCTGAGGAGTGTGCTGGGTTCAGAGGTAGGATGTGGCACCCTTTGGTTGTGACTACTCTTTCCTGGCTCTCTGGGTTTGGAGGGAGGCCACGGCACCCTTTGGTTGTGACTACTGTTTCCTGGCTCTTTCAGCTGCTTCTCCTGAGGACCAGGAAATTCCAAGTTGGGGAACAGCTTCCCACCCAAGGAGCCTGCTCCGCCCCACTTTGGAAGTACTCGCTGGGTCTTTAGAGTGCTCGCTGAGTCTTTGGAGTGCTCACTGGGTCTTTGGAGTGCTCGCTGGGTCTTTGGAGTGCTCGCTGGGTCTTTGGAAGTGCTCGCTGGGTCTTTGGAGTGCTCGCTGGGTCTTTGGAGTACTCGCTGGGTCTTTGGAAGTACTCGCTGGGTCTTTGGAGTACTCACTGGGTCTTTGGAGTACTCGCTGGATCTTTGGAAGTGCACACGGGGTCTTTGGAGTGCTCGCTGGGTCTTTGGAAGTGTGCACGGGGTCTTTGGAGTGCTCGCTGGATCTTTGGAAGTGCTCGCTGGGTCTTTGGAAGTGTTTACTGGGTCTTTGGAGTACTCGCTGGGTCTTTGGAGTGCTCGCTGGGTCTTTGGAAGTGCGCACGGGGTCTTTGGAGTGCTCGCTGGGTCTTTGGAAGTGCTTGCTGGGTCTTTGGAGTACTCGCTGGGTCTTTGGAAGTACTTGCTGGGTCTTTAGAGTGCTCGCTGGGTCTTTGGAGTACTCGCTGGGTCTTTGGAAGTACTCGCTGGGTCTTTGGAGTACTCGCTGGTCTTTGGAAGTACTCGCTGGGTCTTTGGAAGTGCACACGGGGTCTTTGGAGTGCTCGCTGGGTCTTTGGAAGTGTGCATGGGGTCTTTGGAGTGCTCGCTGGGTCTTTGGAGTATTCGCTGGGTCTTTGGAAGTGCGCACAGGGTCTTTGGAGTGCTCGCTGGATCTTTGGAAGTGCTCGCTGGGTCTATGGGTCTTGGAGTGCTCGCTGGGTCTTTGGAGTATTCCTGGTCTTAAAGTGCGCACAGCTGGAGTGCTCGCTGGATCTCTTTGGAAGTGCCTTCGCTGGCTCCTGGAAGTGCTTACTGGGTTCTTGGAGTACTCGCTGGGTCTTTGGAGTGCTCGGCCCTTGGAAGTGCGCACGGGTCTTGAGACTCGCTGGGTCCCTTTGGAGTGCTCGCTGGGTCTTTGGAAGTGCTTATGTGGGTCTTTGGAAGTGCTCGCTGGAGTCTTTGGGGAAGTGCTCGCTGGGTCTTCTTTTGAGTACTCATGCCTTTGAAGTGCCTGGTCTTTGAGTACTGCCACGCTTTGGAAGTGCTCACTGGCTCTTAGAATGCCTGGCTCCTTGAGTGCTCACTGGCTCCTTGGTGCTCGCTGGGTCTTTGGAGTACTCGCTGGGTCTTGGAAAGTGCTTGCTGGTCTTCTTTTGGAAGTGTCCGCTGGGTCCTTAGTGCTCACTGTCTTTGGAGTACTCGCTGGCCTTTTTGGAGCACTCGCTGGGTCTTTGAGTACCTCGCTGGGTCTTGGAAGTGCTCTGCTATTCTTGAGTAATTAATGCGGGGTCTTTGAGTACTGCTAGTCTTTGAGTACTCACGTGGCTCCTTGAGTACTCACTGTCTTTGGAGTACCTTCATTGGCCCTTGAGTACTCGCTTGGCCCTTGGAAGTGCTCACTGGCTCCCGGAGTAAATTTCTTACGGGGCCTCTCAAGGGAGTACTTGCTGGGTCTTTGAGTACTCATGGTCTTTGGAGTATGGCTCTCACGGCCTTGAGTGCTCTGCCGCTTGGGTCTGAGTACTGCGCTGGTCTTGAGTACTCTCTGGCCTGAAGTGCCCTGGGTTCTGAAGTGCTCGCTTGGCCTTTAAAGTGCTCACTGGGCCCTGAGTACCTCGCTGGCCCTTTGGAGTACCGCTGGCCCTCGGAGTACCCGGTCTTTGGAAGTGCTCACTGGGTCTTTGGAGTACTCGCTGCGTCTTTGGAAGTGCTCACTGGGTCTTTAGAATGCTCGCTGGGTCTTTGGAGTGCTCACTGGGTCTTTGGAAGTGCTCGCTGGGTCTTTGGAGTACTCGCTGGGTCTTTGGAAGTGCTTGCTGGGTCTTTGGAAGTGCGCACGGGGTCTTTGGAGTACTTGCTGGGTCTTTGGAAATGCTCACTGGGTCTTTAGAGTACTCGCTGGGTCTTTGGAAGTGCGCATGGGGTCTTTGGAGTACTCGCTGAGTCTTTGGAGTACTCACTGGGTCTTTGTAAGTGCTCGCTGGGTCTTTGGAAGTGCGCACAGGGTCTTTGGAGTACTTGCTGGGTCTTTGAAAATGCTTGCTGGGTCTTTGGAGTACTCACTGGGTCTTTGGAAATGTTACCTGGGTCTTTGGAAGTGCTCGCTGGGTCTTTGGAAGTGCTCGCTGGGTCTTTGGAGTACTCACGGGGTCTTTGGAGTACTCGCTGGGTCTTTGGAGTACTCGCTGGGTCTTTGGAAGTGCTTGCTGGGTCTTTGGAAGTGCGCACGGGGTCTTTGGAGTACTTGCTGGGTCTTTGGAGTACTCGCTGGGTCTTTGGAGTACTTGCTGGGTCTTTGGAGTACTCGCTGGGTCTTTGGAGTACTCACTGGGTCTTTAGAAGTGCTCGCTGGGTCTTTGGAAGTGCTCACCACCGGGTCTGCTCTCTCCACAGGTGTGGTACATGGACGGCTATCACAACAACCGCTTTGTACGCGAGTACAAGTCCATGGTTGACTTCATGAACACGGACAATTTCACCTCCCACCGTCTCCCTCACCCCTGGTCGGGCACGGGGCAGGTGGTCTACAACGGGTCCATCTACTTCAACAAGTTCCAGAGTCACATCATCATCAGGTTCGACCTGAAGACAGAGACCATCCTCAAGACCCGCAGCCTGGACTATGCCGGCTACAACAACATGTACCACTACGCCTGGGGCGGCCACTCGGACATCGACCTCATGGTGGACGAGAGCGGGCTGTGGGCTGTGTACGCCACCAACCAGAACGCCGGCAACATCGTGGTCAGCAGGCTGGACCCCGTGTCCCTCCAGACCCTGCAGACCTGGAACACAAGCTACCCCAAGCGCAGCGCCGGGGAGGCCTTCATCATCTGTGGCACGCTGTACGTCACCAACGGCTACTCGGGGGGCACCAAGGTCCACTACGCCTACCAGACCAACGCCTCGACCTACGAGTACATCGACATCCCCTTCCAGAACAAATACTCCCACATCTCCATGCTGGACTACAACCCCAAGGACCGGGCCCTGTACGCCTGGAACAATGGCCACCAGATCCTCTACAACGTGACCCTCTTCCACGTCATCCGCTCTGACGAGTTGTAGCTCCCTCCGCCTGGAAGCCAAGGGCCCACGTCCTCACCAGAGGAAACTCCTGTGAAACCGCTGCCAAAAAGATACCAATGATACTAACAATACCAATTTTGCAAAATCATCAGCAGTGCGGATTCTGACATCGAGGGATGGCATTACCTCCGTGTTTGTCCCTTTCCAGCCGGCGGGCCACAGACATCGGAAGAAACTCCCGTATTTGCAGCTGGAACTGCAGCCCACGGCGCCCCGGTTTTCCTCCCCGCCTCGTCCCTCTCTGGTCACACAACATGCTAAAGAGGCAAGGCAATGACTGTTGGCCAATTCTCACCGGGGAACAACCCACTGTTAGGATGGCATGAACATTTCCTTAGATCGTGGTCAGCTCCGAGGGATGTGGTATCTGGGCTCTTGGGGAGCCCCGGGCCACACCCGGCCGTAGGCTAGTGTAACTCGCATCCCATCGCAGTGCCGTTTCTTGACTGTGTTGCTGTCTCTTAGATTAACTGTGCTGAGACTCCACGTAGCTCCTGGACCCGTGTCTAGTACATACTGAAGCGATGGTCAGAGTATGTAGAGTGAAGTTGCTGTGCCCACGTTGTTTGAACTCGCGTACCCCGTAGATATATTGTGCAGCGTTCTTCTGTTATTCCCTTGAGGTGGTAACTTCGTATGTTCAGTTTATGCAATGATTGTTGTAGATGCAATGCCGTAGTTTGGATTAATAAGTGGATGGTTTTTGTTTCTAAAAAGAAAAAAAAAAATCAGTGTTCACCCTTATAGAGACATAGTCAAGTTCATGTTGATAATAATCAAAGGAATTACTCTCTCTTCTTGTTAAATTAGCTCAATCATGTAACCGCAGATAGGAAGGGCTCACCTAGGGAAACTCTGGTTTCCGATGGGACGGTAAAGTCATACGGGCAACAGTGTGCGGGAAGTACATTTTTTAAGTAAAACACAAAGGAAAACTTTGTACTATCCAGTTATCTAAGGAACAATAAAAACATTAGGAGATCTTTTTGCTTCACGTGTCATTTCTGAGAGTTTTAAAAACTGACGGAGACTTCCAGGTCCTTGCAGACGGATTCCCGGGTTTGAGTGGCCCTTTGAGAAAGGGAAATAAATCTTTTCTTTCGGAAGAGGGCACAGCAGGTCCCTGTTGGATCTCCAACCTCCCATCTCCCCAACGTGGAGGAGCAGCTTAGAATCTATCCCCCACCCCTTAGGTGACTCTGGGGCACTACTCCAACTTGGGACTGTGCACCAGGGACCCCAGCCACACCCCATCTCCACCCTGCTTTCCCTCCACAGACACCACTGGAGGGAGCCTGGGGTGGTACCCACTTTAGACAGCCCTGGCGTGATGGGCAGAGACCCTGCTGAGGGAAAGTTCACTCATCTAGGGCTGCAGCAGGCCCTGGAGGTGAGTGACATTCCTCCCTGGGACCTGTAGACCTGTACCTCCCCAGGCCTTGGAGACTGTGGCCAGGGGCTCAGGGCTTCACATGGGCTAGATCCTGGGAGCCTCGTGGGGCCGCTGCCACTCAGCAGGCCCTGAGGTCTCTGCAGGACAGGCCACAACTCAATGTCTGGAATGTCCTGGCACTTCCTGCGAGAAAAGGAAGAATGTCAGAGTAACCCCCTCACAACGTTCCTGGCACTAACTTGGCAGAAGAGGGCTGCTCATCTGGGTCCCCAGATATGGTGTGAGGTTGGGAGCCACCCTGCTCTCACCTGCCCTCTGCTCGGGGGCAGCTGGCACCCCCAGCAGCGTGGATGGCAGGGCAGTGATACGGGGCATTGGAAAAGCCGGGCAACCCTGTGGGCCTGGCCCAGTGGCACCTGCTCAAACCAGTGAGTGGATGAGCCTCCAGCACTTCCGTCACTCATCCTGGAAAAACAGCCAGCTGGGCGGTTCCCAGGTGGAATCGTGGATGGCACTTAGACGAAGCTGATGTCTGTAGTGCTTGGTACCTGGTGGAACCGAATCCGAGGATGTCTGAGAAGGTGAAACCACACAGAAGCTGGGGTGGCTGAAACAGCCGGTCAGAGAAGGAGGCAGCTGGGGACATCTGGGGACCATGTCTAGCCCCCTTGTTACCTGGTCCTGGACAACAGTTAGGAAAATACGGGATGACAAATAGGGCACAGGCAAGCTCTAACCCACTGGGTGGGAAGGGAAGGAGATGCCAGCGTCTCCGGAGAGGTGCAGAGCCCGGCTCCCGGTCCCCATGGCCATCAGTCGCTCGTGGGGTCAAATTCTGCCCCAGGTCCCTTCCAGCCACCAGGGTCACATTTCTACAGTGGGTTGGGTGGGCCAGTGATGCCCCAGTCCCAAGCTGCCTAGAACCCCCCGGCAGGGGTTCAGTGCCTGTCTCTGCTCTGCACACGCCTCTCCCGGTCAGGCTGGCCACTTCCCATCTGCTCCCCCAGGCCCCACCTGCCTCCAAGCCTCTCACCTGCCCTGTCCGCCCTGTGTGCCCTGCTGTCCCTGCTCTCCGCCTCCCCCAGGGGTCAGCTCAGGGGCCATCATTTTGGGAATGACTCCTTCTCACCTCCGGGGAGCATTCCTCCTTGGTCCTGCGCTCCTCCGGGCCTCCGTTCTCCCGTTCCCCGGCTCTCACCAGCCCCTGTGTCCAGCATCTATGAGTCTCTTGCACCTGACATGATATGTTCTTTGAGGAGGATTTGGGGTTATCCAAAATAGGTGAATTTCCAAACCCAAGACAAAAAAAGCCTGACATTTGGGAGGGAGTGGGGCAGAAACGCGTAATCCATAACGGCAGCCTCCCTGGCAGGAAGGCAGCGCTCACACACCACCGTGGAGTGCACTTGCAGTGAGAACTTTCAGGGCTGGAGGCATGTTCATACTTTCCCGTTTACAAATTGTCTCAGAGCGCGGTGGCACACAAAATGCCCCCCTGCAAGACACAGGAGTGGATATTCAGAGAAAAGCCCTGAGTTTCCATCAAGCCATAATTCAGTCTAGCAGACCAATGACTTTACCCCTGACGAGACAGAAACCTGTCCAAGCACAATCAGGTGGGAACTATTCTGTAATTACAGGCTGTGATTACGGGCTGATTTCTTTGTAATCTCCCCTTAATGACATAGTAAAAAACAAGCGTTCAAATACCTGTTCTATGAGTCACCAGAAGACATAATAATGACCTGACAGGTCCAGAATGGATTTGCTGTCTCAGGCTGAGTATCTGCTAGGGAAAATATTCCTCCAGGATGTTACATACCCAAGAAAAATGGTTCTACCCAGAAAGCAAATAAAATAACCAGACTGCCATTAAATCTCCCAGATTCCAATAACCGAATATATTGGCTGATGGTGGAACATCTGTGGATGAATTTTCTTTATTAAAAGTTTGGCGCAGAGTCAAAATCCGGCAGTTATTCGCAGTAGTCAGAGGCTGGAGCAAGAGACAGTTCTGTTTGCAGCTGGGTCTGTCTGAAATTCTCCTAGTTTCCAGTGGGTTTCTTTTCCTGAGGGAAGCCTGTGACTGGTGGTCCCACAGGTACCCACTGAATCCTCCCCTGGCTCCGTTAGAGCTGCAGGTGCTGAGGTAGTACTTGGTGGGGGGAACATAAGGTGTGGGCGGCTCTGCTCTCTGAACCAGTGAGTGAGTAGGAGGGGTTGGCTCTGGGTAGGTGGCTCTGGGTGGGGCGCTCTGTCTCCACAACGCTTGGGAAGTGCTGGGTGGACAGCCGGTGCCTGGCTTTGTCCTTGGAAGGGATCCCAAAATGAAAGGCACTGTTATTTCCAATAGCTGAACACTCTGGAACAGCCAACAGTCAGCAAGCCAGGCGACATCGGGGCAGGTACTGAGCACAAACGGGCCCATTGTCTCAGCCCGAGGGACTCTTCAACCCAGAAACCCTCAGGTCATCTAGTCATAGTCCATAAAACTGTGGAGTGTGAAAATGTTTTTTATTGGAACGTCTCACCTAATTCCCTTTGAAAGCAGCAAGTGGGCCAGGCACGATGACTTATGCCTGTAATCCCAGCACTTTGGGAGGCTGAGGTTGGCAGATCATGAGGTCAGGAGTTCAAGACCAGCCTGACCAACATGGTGAAACCCAGTCTCTACTAAAAATACAAAAATTAGCCAGGTGTGGTGGCGTGTGCCTATAATCCCAGTCACTCGGGAGGCTGAGGCAGGAGAATTGCTTGAACCCGGGAGGTGAAGGTTGCAGTGAGCTGAGATTGCACCACTACACTCCAGCCTGAGCAAGAGAGCAAGACTCCAAAAAAAAAAAAAAAAAAAAAGAGAAAGAAAGAAAAAGGAAAGGAAGGAAGGGAGGGAGGGAGGGAGGGGAGGAAGGAAAGAAGGGAGGGAGGGAGGGAGGAAGGAAGGAAGGAAGGAAGGAAGGAAGGAAGGAAGGAAGGAAGGAAGGAGAAAGAAAGGAAAGAAGAAAGAAAGGAAGGAAAGGAAAGGAAAAAGAAAAGAAAAAAGAAGGAAGGAAAGAAAAAGAAAGAAAAGAAAGAGAAGGAAGGAAGGAGAGAAAGAGAGAGAAAGAAAGACGAAAGAAGAATGAAAGAAAAGAAAAGGAAGAAAGAAAAAGAAAGAGCAAGTGGTGGCTTGGAGCAGATGATACCTGGATGCCACACCCCCGGCAACCCTTGGACCTCACTGCCCCATTGAAGAGGCGTCAGGCCCCGTGCTAGATGGAAAAAAGTCAGGCTCTGAGACACCAGCAATTTCCCTGGGCCACTGGGCTTCTGACCCAGAGTCCACAAGATGAGCACAGCCCAACATGGAGAAGGGTCTGGAACAGCAGTTGAAGCTTGGAGATCAGCTGAGCCTGTGATTTGAGACAGCAGACAGTTCCTGGTGCTCAAGGGGGACCGGGAGGCAGAGGAATTGGGTCAGGTCCTGGTCCAGCCTCCTATAATGCCTGGCCAGTGAGTAATTTTTTTCTCTGCTTCCACGCTCGGGGGTGTGGGGTGGGAGGGAGCCATCATTCAGGGCAACGGGGAGGACTGACTGTTTTCTATTCAGTTGCTGGTCTTTACTTTCTCAAATTTTAGGAGTTCTTTCTACGTGTGGAAAGTCAGCCTTTGTGATTCTGTGGCCTGAGGTGCACATATTGTCTGGTCTGTCATTTGTCTCCTGATGTTGGTTATGTGTTGTGTGTGTGTGTCGTGTGTGTCTCTGTGTGTGTATTTTTTAGTGTAGTTATTCATCATCCTTGTCATGCTCATGGCTTCGGGGTTGGAGTTAGGGCCATCTTCCCCAAGGTGATCCCTACTCCTCTTGGTTCTTGCAAAGTCTTGCCTGTTTACCCTGGGGCTGTCCATGTCCTGGCTTTGATAGTGTGAAGTGTGGAGCCAGTTCCATCTTCTTCCAAAGGCTGCTCCTTGGCCCCAATGCTATTTGTTAAATGGCCCAACACTCTCCCCTGGACCCTTTGTCCTGGGGGAGGTCTATCCCTGGGCCCTCCTCTCCCTGGGTCTGTGCTGGCCTCTGTGTCCAGAAGGCAAAAGGACCCATTGACTCATCTGGGCTGGGGCTTTTTCACGGGCAACCACCTTGAGAACTTCCCATATGGTTTTTTAATTGTTAATTTTTAAATTATTTTTTATTTTTATTGTTATTTTTTGAGATAGGGTCTTGCTCTGTCACCCAGACCGGAGTGCAGTGGTGCGATCCCAGCTCACTGCAACCTCCACCTCTTGGGTTTAAGCAATTCTCCTGCCCCAGCCTCCTGAGTAGCTGGAATTATAGGCAAGCACCACCATGCCTGGCTAATTTTGTGTTTTATTTTTGTTTTTGTTTTTTTTTTTAGTACAGACAGGGTTTCATCATGTTGGCCAGGCTAGTCTTAAACTCCTGACCTCAAGTGATCCATCTGCTTCAGCCTCCCAAAGTGCTGGGATTACAGGTGTGAGCCACTGTGCCCTGTCCCTGCATTGTTTTATAAAGTGATCTCTGAGTAGCTTATAAACCATGATGGCTGACCCCTGAGCTTGTCAGGCCCTACTCCAGGAAGCATCCGGAAGCCT